GCTGGACTGCCCGACTCTCTCTGTTGCTCTACGCTAGGAAAGCAAGTGGTTCGTCTAATCTTAAGCTGGATTGCCAACAGAATATCTGAACTGGAGTAAATTTTTTATTTTATTTTAAGTTCGAACATACATGATTTCAAGATACAACTTACACTGTAATACTAACATGAAATTGGCTTTAAAAGCAAAAGGATTTTCAGTGAATTTTCATTTTTGAGCCTGAGAACATAAATTCATGTTCTATAAGACCCACGGCTTCTTCATAATCCCCATGCTTTAAAATTTTTGGACGCAGAAATCCTAAACCCAACAAGTGAAAAGTAACTTGCATCATCCTCTTCTCTTAGTCATGGGAAAGGTAAAAAATGTATTATAATGTTTTGAGGTAAAATAGAACTGTACTATAGAAACAAAAAAAAAATCCAATATTCATTAGTTACTTTCAGCTATCTATATTTCTTACTGAAGCGCCACTGACTTTTGGTGTGAGGAGCAAATTTACAAACAGTTTGCACAGCTCCCTCAGCAGTATGGCGCTCTGGTAATTGAAGGGAGCCGGTAGTTTTCACTGACTCTTCCAAATTCATGCTACTTTCATGAGCTCCTCATACACATTCTTTACACGCGAAGCCATTTCCTCACAGACTTGGGCCCTGATTAAAAAAAAATATTAATACAAGGTAATTTTAAAATTGGTAATAAATTAACATGTTTAACATAAGAATGTTAGTTATTTTAAAAACTTTACTTGTATCATGTATGTATGCGGCCCCAGCCACACTTACCTATCCTTTTGTTGGCAGTGACTTGGTCAGTTTGATGCTTGTTTAATGAGAATAGGTGGTCTTTATGCATGAGTGGTGGGTGGGTTTTTGTGGGTTGTGGAGGCTGTGGTTGTGCAATTGGGAGACTTGAGTGCATGGTGGTGGTCATGCTCTGCTGATTTCCCAGGGCACTGTGACGGCAACACTCCTGGTGTCATTAGGCTTAGCATCTTGCTTGAGGTCTGAAGGCGCAATGAAACTTCTCCATTGATTCTCACCAGTCCTCCTGCAATTTGTTATTGCCAAAAAATCTTCTTGACAGCGAGGCGGCAAGTCCTTTTGTGGGGACTAACAAAAACAATGGTCATTAAAATAGTCACTGCAGAAAATAAAATGGCCTATATTTATAAAGCTGAGTATTAATGTGCTTTATTGTTAAATTTAAAAAAATGCAAATCACCTAATACAGAAGCTACAGTATAGTAGTAACAATTTAATGAATCTAGTTATTACAAGCATTACAAGATTTACTACTTTCAGTGCTATTTTACAAATCAATTTTCAACTTTTCCATAAGTAGTGTCTCTAAGATCTTCATCTTGCCATAGTAACAATACTATTTTTTTGAAACACTAAACATTCTTTGTGGAATCTAATCCATCTTCCTATTGGTGAACATGAATGCTCAAAATAAAAATCTTACTATTACAAAAAGAGTTGCACTACAGCGAGACCTCACCACAGGCAGCCCCACTGATCCCTAAAAGAAACTGGAAAGGTTTCCCCAAAAATAACATAGAAATTTTAAACATTCTTTTATGTAAGCAAGGAAATTTTGATTTATCATAACAGAAATCATTCAAGAAATGCAGAAGAAGACACAAGTATTTGGAAATTTTAAAAGCTTTTTGAGTATATCATTCAATGCTCCTTGGCAACAAGTTAATATAATGCAACATGAACAAAGATAAATAAATAAAAAAAATATAAAAACCTAATAAGTAGTATGAAAATAAAATACACAATTCAAATAAACACTATCACACCAAATTAAACAGAACCTGATCAGCTCTAAAAATACCATAAACATTCTGAATGATGAAAGACCACCTATAAGTTACCAGAGATCCCCTACAGGCACTTCCATAACAATAATAAAAAAAAAACAATTATGCCTGCATCCCGCAAGCTATAGCGGATGCACTTTCACATTTTACCCAAAGCCTCAGCAAACGGCTGGCTTCTTGCGTTAAAATGTAGCCACCTGGTTCCTCCAATCACAACTGTCTACTAAATGACTGTTCTTTTAGAGGGCCAAAACTTTGTACAGCCAAACCCTGCCAAAACTTGCTTCTGTCTGCCAGGGCCCCTGCTCACTTCCCAAGGGGACACAGTAGACCTACAATTATGACATGTTACATTCTATAAATATCATTTATTGCTAACTAATCTAACCCATGGATGTACTACAATACTGCAAGTGCAGCGTGAAACGGAAACCTGTAATTGTTACATGTTGGTAGGATTGCTGGTGTACATTTTTCTGATATAAATATGCAAGGTTTCAGGTTACGTCTTGCTTTCATTACTTACATTTAGGTCACACTACACACTGCATGTATAAGCATTTATATACAAACCCCTCCAAGTTTTTCTATATTCTTCCTGGTACTTGCTTCGTTTTTTTCGCTATATATCATAGGGTGTAGAACAGAATTCTTCCTCATAGCCAAAGTGTGTCGGATGAGGTGACTAAAATGCCAAGAGCTTGTACCCCTTCTGGATATTTTTACTAATTTCAAGAGAAAACTTGTGTTATTCTTTTTGGGCCACCTGCCTCAGTGGGGATGCAGCCAGGGTTTGTTGAAGAAGAAAACCGGGATTATGTCCACAAATCTTCAAAATGTTATATTGCTGATGCTATGGTTTTGCATCCCACGCAATACCACAAGACTGAAATATTCATGAAATGCCAGAGTTATACGGGAGCTTTACTTTCTTGATGTACCTGATTATCTGTACAACTGATTTTGTATGTTCTATGCACAAAGGGCTGAAAATGTCCAAGTTAAGACAATCTTGTGCAGTTTAACTGACAATGTACTTATGTATAATGTCCATCAGGCTTACTATAGATCTAGCTTTGCAATAACAATCTTTGCCTCAGTATTTGCCCATTCATTTCCCAAGACACCAAACAAAACTCTCCCATCCTTGTGTCATGCATTGCAAAGATGAGCTAGGAAACTTCCTGGGTCTTCCAGAGTACAGAGTAGACAAGTGAACTAGTCCAGGACAAACAGAAACACCCAAAATCCAAGTAGACACGGGGTGAAAAATGTCATCAATTAAACCAGTTGTCAGGATGATGAGAGCAGCAAAGATTGCATGAAGTTTGTTGAGTATACCTGGTAAAGTGTATGGTAGAGTTATTATATGAAAGAATTAAGAGTAAGGCGGAGATTAGGATAGCAGATGAAAAAGAGGCTTTTAGAAAGGTTAGGGGGATGTGTGGACAGGGATGTGTTTACAGTGAATGAAAACACATAAGTGAACAGGTATTTAGATTAGGCCTAAAGGGGTCTTTGTGGCATTTATGGATTTGGAAAAGGCGTATACGTATGACAGGGTGAGATCTAGCGGGCGGAAATTGCTGGATGTTGCAGGTGTATGTTGTAGGAGGTAGGTTATGAAAGCAGTGAAAGTTGAGAGTTTTTTCGAGGATAGTGAGGCATCCAAACGTTAGAGTATGCAGGAAAGGGAAATTATTCCCAGTAAAGTAGGCTTAGACAAGGATGTGTGATGTCACCGTGTTGTTTAATTTATTTATAGATGGGGTTGTAAGAGAAGTAAATGCGAGCGGTCTTGGCTAAGAGGCGTCGTGGAGGTTAAAAGATAAGAATCACCACAAAGTGGGAGTTGTCACAGTGCTCTTTGCTGATGACATGTGATCTTCGGGAGATTTGAAAGAAGAGATGTTGCAGATATTGGTGTATGAATTTGGATAGGGTATGCAAAAGAAAGAAAATTAAAAGTTGATATAGCGAATGGAGTAAGGTTTATGAGGGACTAACAAAAAGATAGGTGATTGAAAGTTTGGATATCAGATTGGAGGGAGAGAGTATTGGTGGAGGTGAAATGTATTCAGATATTTTGGGACCGTGGACGCGTCAGCGGATGGGTCTATGAAAGATTGTGGAGAATCATAGAATTGATGAGGGGGAAAACGGGGTGAGTGGTGCACTTAGGGATTTGGGGTTTTGGAGACAAAAGATCTTTGTCCTTGGAGCAAAGAGGGGAATGTATGAGAGTATAGTTATACCAACGCTCTTTTATGGGTGTGAAGATGGGTGAACATGGAACGTTTGCAGCGCAGGAGAAGGCTGGAGGCAGTCGGAGATGTCATGTCGAGGGGCCAATGTGTTGGTGTGATTATATTGCAGAGAAATTAGTAGTTTGGGAAGTTAGGAGGAGGTGCGGGAATTACCAAAATGTTGTCCAGAGGGCTGAGGAAGAGTTGTTGAGTGGTTCGGACATGTAGAGAGAATGGAGCCGAAACAGAGTATGACTTCAGGAGTGGCTATCCAGTTCTCATGTAGTGGAAGGAAGGCGGGGGGTAGGGGTCGGCTAGGAAAGGTTGGGGGAGGGGGTAATGGAGGTTTTGTCGTGCGAGGGGCTTGGGACTTCCAGCAGGTTTGCGTGAGCGTGTTTGATAGGACGTGAATGGAGAACAATGGTTTGTAATACTTGACGTGTGGTTGGGTGTGAGCAAAGTAACATTTATGAAGGGATTCAGGGAAACCGGCAGGCTGGACTTGAGTCCTGGAGATGGGAAGTACAGTGCCTGCACTCTGAAGGAGGGGTGTTAATGTTGCAGTTTAAAAACTGTAGTGTAAAAGCTACCTTCTGGCAAGCAGTGTTGGAGTGACAAACTGATGGTGAAAGTTTCTTTTTCAGGCCACCCTGCCTTGGTAGGAATCGGCCAGTGTGATAATAAAAAAAAAAAATTTACTGTGAATACGTATTTGGGAACATTTAATTTTAGCACTTGTCATATTAAAAAGTTAATTTTAATTTTTGAATATATGAATTTATAATTTGAATGTTTTGAAAAAATTGCATGAATTTTAAGTATATCCTTATGGCTAGCCTAAGGAATTTCATCAATTAAACTATTTAATGTATACAATGAACTGTCTTTAAAATTAGCAATCATAACTCTAGTACAGTACTTACTATTGGTGTAATTCTGCTGTTGATTATATTGGTTGTTCTGTTGTTGCCTGCTGAAGCTCTGGTTGTTGAAGTGCTTGTTCTGAAAGAAGTGATGATTGAACTCCCATGTCAGAAAACTCTTAAAAAATAAAAATCTTGTCACAACTTCTCCATGGGATGTTGAAAAGGAAAATCAGCAAAGGTGGCTCACCCCACTATTTGACATTGCAGATATTTTTTTTTTTTTCACAAGCTCGGCCGTCTACCACCGAGGCAGGGATGACCCAAAAGAAAAGAATAAAATCACCAAAAAGAAAATTACTTTCATCATTATTCAACACTTTCACTCACTCCACAATTGAGATATGGCTTAATGAAATTAAAATACCAATAAATGGCTTATAAATACACACAGCACAAAGACCATCTCTGAACAGCTATACTACAACAAAAAAGTAATCATGTTACAGAAATTAAAATGGAATATTAAGGACTAAAAAAGAGCCCTTCAATGTGCCGAAGAAGATCATATAGAAGATTAAAAACTAAAAAAAAACTAAAGTGGACTGCATTTTTCTGTGTTGCAAAACTGACACTATTGCAAAAGGTTATTAGCTGCAGGTCAATGACAGTCAGGGGACTAAAATGGATAGAATACCCGAGTGGCACAAGTCATAAAAAGAAAGTCAGGATAGATGAACAACTAGTTAAGCATATAGATCCTGCATTGTTCTAAGCACTGACCTACCAGTGGGTACAGAAGTAGGGAATGGCAGAAACAAACATTACAGTATTCCTTCTCATGAGTGGGATACATTACTGGAAATTGGCACCCTAAGAAAATTAGCTATGTGAAGTTAGGCACAAATGGGGAAAAATAGGGTTACATTTAACCCCTTCAGGGTCCAAGGCCCAAATCTGAAGTGGTGTCCCAGTGTCCAAGAATTTAAAAAAAAAAAATGTTATTTTTTCTTATGAAATGGTAGAGAATCTTTTTGTGAAGGTAATAAAACAAAAAGTACAAAATTTGATGGAAAATTGACGAAATTATGCTCTCGTGAATTTTGATGTGTCAGGGATATTTACGAATCGGCGATTTTGCTGACTTTGACTCCCATTTTAGGCCAATTACATTATTCCAGTCAACCAAATTCTTAGCTATTTCACAAGTATTACTTCTATTCTATCGATTGAGCACAAGAAATCACCAAGTCAACTGTTTCAACTACAAATTAAAGTGATCGGAAATTGTTAATTTGGCCAATTTAACACAAAGTTCAAAATATTCCAATTTCAAAATAGGGTCCAGAATAAACAATGTAGGTATTCCTGGAACTAAACTAACATTTCCTCTGTTCATTAGTTACGTTTTAAGGCTTTACAAATAAATTCCATTTTGATTTTTTATTCACATTGAATTTTTATTCACACCAAAAAAGAGAAGATTTACTGTTATGCAATACTATAATAATTGTATAAATATCATCACCATATTTGTGAATGCATATTAGACCCACCAGCTGGCGTGTATTAGACGTGTGAGGTCGTTTGTTTACTCTTGAATATCGGCAAAAATTTAACATTTCTGCTACTTTGAGCTTAGTTTCAAGTCATTTCCATTGCAAAAACCAATCAAAATCATCTCTATTTCTGTAATATGTCTTCCATTCTATCAAATGAGACCAAGAAATCACAAATAGAACTATAAAAAACATACAAAAAAACACTGCAAAGTTGCTGTTTTAATCGAAAAATCACGATTTCAGTTTTTTTCTCTCATTATACACAGCGTGCTGCAGGATCTGTTTTATGTGGCGCACACATACCACATAGATGTATTCTCTCATATCTAGGCCCAAATGTACCACTCACAGTTTATCAGAGTGAGCTGAGCTCATGACGTAGATCTACGGTTTGGACCCTGAACGTAAAGCCGTAGATCTACGGGACGGACCCTCAAAGGGTTAAGACACGTCTAAATCTGCCAAACTTTTCTTTTTTTAACATTCTACCACAAAAATTACCAGTTTATCTTGCCTTACACTGTTCGTGGTTACCTGAAGCATCTAAAAAATGAGAGGAAAGTTACCATTGACCAGCTGGACCAAGATGGATGTAGTTAGGTTTATCAACTGACACATGAAGTACATACAAGAATTAAAATAAATTTGTATGAAGCATATGGAGATGGAGGGAGAGGGGGTAAAGGAGAGAGAGTTTAAGGCTTAAGCATCCAGAAGGATTTCATGAACACGTCAGAGTGAATGGTGAAAGTGGCTTTTTAACCCTTTGACTGTTTCAGGCCCCTCTCTGAAACTGTCATTCTATGTCGCCAAATAGTTGAAAAAAAAAAAATTTTTTTCTTATGAAAATGTTAGGAATATTTTTAGTAGTGTTTTAAGCCTAAAAAAAATTTTTTTTGCCATCAGTACTTACCGATATATAGAGCCGCAAAGTTTGCAGAAAGTGACGTGCGTACGGCAACAGCGGCGACTGCCGCCCACCCGGTATTCTTTTATTTACTCTAATTCAAAGGTTTCTTGCATTTTTCAATATTTTTCTGTTCCAGGTAACTTATGTGGCCTGTGAGACCAATGTAAGGTGCATTCTTCAAATATACACTCATTGTTTACAACACAATAACTGAACAAACTTTATCACTATTAGTTTGTGTATACACTTTGTTTACACAAACAAACAATACAAAACAATGTTATTACTTTTGTTCCATAATATAATATATATATGTACAGTCACTAAACACGTCCTAGAACTGCTGCAGCTTGTGGAACTCTTTGAAACATGGGTATTGCAGAGGGGCACTTCACACTCCTCACACATAAAACGAGTGTCTCTGCGTGTTTGTGGGCGTTTTGGGGTATAAATACATACGTAACACCTCTTCTGAGCATCTTTCTTGGCAGTAGTAGGAGGCAGTTGTATGGGGTAGTGATCACCGGGCCCTCATACGAGATGACGTCTGTGGGCGCTGGTCTATTGAAAGGATTGCTCCTTGGTACTTTGCAATTATTTTTCTGATTACTGACAGGCAAAATTCACCATATTTTGGTGTTTTGGGGGGTCTTCAACTTGTATATGTTATAAGCATTTAGCATAGAGATATCAACAAATGGAAAAAAAGTTTATATACCACTTATAACTCTTTTGCGTACACAGCCCTGCAAACCCAATCTGCATGTCACATTTGTCCACTAAGCGCATATTGAGGTTGTAGTCCATGACAGCTGCAGGCTTTAAAATTTGGGTTCATTGGTCTCTCTGTTGTCCCTGCCATTGGGTACCATTTCGTTTCTGTGAACTAAGTCAACAATGTGACATCACGTTTGTCATGCCACCGAAATGCCATGATGTCATTGGCAGAAAAGGCTTGCACCTCACCTCGGGCGATGCCAGCATTGAACCTTGGCATAATGTTTACGATTACCACGCACTGTGCCACACACGTCTGTCAAGTTCACTCGCAAGAAATCACTGGGGTAAGGGCTTGTGTACCAGTTATCAGTAAATAACATATGCCCCTTACCAAGATATGGTTCCATCATTGTTCGAACCACATCACCAGAGATACCCAATAACTTCATGGTATCTCTCAAAGTATTACTGCCAGTGTACACAATGATATCCAAAACTAGACCACTTCTGCAATCACACAGTACAAATAGCTTTAAAACCAAAGCATTTCCTCTTGCTTGGTATATATTGCTTGAATGAGAGTCTTCCTTTGAATAAAATAAAGGACTCATCAATAACAAGCTTCCTGAAGGGATAAAAATACATGCAGCACTTTTGTTCAGGTACATAAACACATTTCTGATCTATATAACCTGTCGCTTTCTGTCAGGCCGGGTTTTTTGTCTGAAAAGTGTAACATACGTAACAGTATCAGGAAACGATTGACACCTATAATGTCACTAAAACCTGGAGTTGAAATCAGGTGTTCTGTTGCCCACTATGTGGTGACGTGTGGTTATACACATGTGGCATAAGCATTATTGTGGCAAAAAACAGGTACATCTCTGCCACAGTTGTCTCCTTCCACTTGTGTAGCCGTGATTTTGGTGAGAGAATTGTATTTGCCATGGTGTAATCACAGTATGTGTTTGTTTCCCTGACAATGATGTCCATCAGGGGTTCATCGAAGAATAACTCAAAGCAGTCCAGTTCACTGGCATTGTTCCCAAGTGGACAAGATGGCTTTATTTCACTTTGTGTTTCATCAAAGTCATGGGGGACTGGGAACAAACTCGTCACCGTCCTGCCAATCCCAGATGTGGTCTGGATATTGTACCGTGGTTGTGGTTGTGCAGGTTGTGGGAGTGTGGGGTAGGGTGAGGCTGGTTGTTGTGCTGAGTCAGCAGCGTGGCCCGCTGATGGTGCCACATGGGCCGTGCCACCCTCACTATCACCACCACTGCCTCCTCCCTCACTGTCACCATTCATACCCATCGTTACAATATTATCATCTTCACTATCAGGTCATGGTGTAGGGCCATGGGATGTGCTCCCAGAGTTTCTCCTTCCCCTTGGAACAACATATGAAACACTACCAGACCGCATGCTACGTCATACATACTGCCGCTTCACTGGGGAATATTCACTCTCACTGTCACTAGAACTGCTTCATGACCTTGAAATCACTATCACTGCTATCATCTGGGTGTTGTACACGACCCAAAAAGTTTCCTCTTTCGTCCTGGTACAGGCGAACTGAACAAGCCGGCACAGCACCCGAGGTGGAAGGTTGTGGGTCATCTGGGTTTTCCATCACTAATTACGTTATCCTGGGGACTTTTTTTCCGGTAACACCACTTCAAAAACCCCGGAATTCACTGTCACTGACATTTTCATCACTGTTAGAGCTATCACTTGGGAACAAAAGACCTCCAATCCGCCGAGGAGTGAGGAACTTCTTACCGAGAGGCATGGTGAAAATGGACTAACAACATGGCGTTCCCACAATGTACCGCTGGGTCCCAGATTTTTTTCACAGGGTGCACACCGACCACTGAGACCCATTCTCTCTCGTGTAGGCCTACCAGGCCTTTGGCGCTTGATGTGAAGCCGCTAGAATTTGTGCGTATAAATACGTCAGAAACATTGGCTCGTAAGACGTATTTATACGTCGGAAACAGTCAAAGGGTATCTACTGGAGAGTGAGCAGGGTAATATTTATGAAGGGATCCAGCGAAACCAGTTAGCTGCACTCAGTCTTGGAGGAGGAGGGAAGGGCAGTGCCTGCACTGTGAAGGAGGGGTACAAACTTGCAGATGGAAGGTAATCTAAAATGTGGTAACAGTACATTTGCATACTACTTCCATTTTGTATAATACTTGCAGAAGGGACCAATAATGTTGAGTTTCATCATAAAAAAAGTAATTCATCTGCCACACCATGCACACACTTTGGCCAAACAGAAGCCCAAAGGATATCTAAAGTATGTTTTCAGGTCAGTGTCCCTGCTGCCCATTCCCAGACCAAGCCTCAGGCCTCCTGGTAGATCAAGGCCTGATAAAGCTGTTGTCTTTCTCACCTACATTCCAAAGAGTATAGGTCAAGGGATTCCAAAATGTTCCCAGTAATGTAGGTGTTTGAATTTATACACGCAATGAAGTTTGTTTCTAAGTCTGCTATTTCACCTGCCTTACAAGCCTGAGTCCACACGGAAATAACATACCACCACCTCACTAATATAATGGGTAGCAGCTAGCAGGAGGCTTGTTCATACATCTTCCTTCAATTTATTAGCTGATTAGTAATTTGCCTCATCTAGCAAAATGTGGGCAACTTCTAGAATGTGCAATGTGTATGGGCAGGCTGCTGCTGTGAATGCATACTATCCTTCACAACAACATTTTCATTTAAACAATTATTCAGTGCATTATCACTAACATTAATTATAGCAACAGAAGCAGTTGAAGGAACAAAAATGTGACTGCCATGTAATTATTATAATATACAATACTGGGTTACTACCATTTGGGATTAATAATCCAAAACAAATCTTCTATTGTACTTTGCATGCTTGAAATTATGCACTCAATATTCTCCTGAAATTTTACTTACAGGCATTTTATATAAATTATTGCATTCATAAATTACAGTAATAAAAAAAAGTTCTTGAAAACTATCTAACAATGTTTTCTCATTTAGCAACAACAGAGGGAGGTTCGGAGGAACTCCGAGTGGCCTGGTCAGAAGAGTTTGGGAGGGGGGGGGAGGGAATCAATGGAGCACCACCCAAATTTCACACATTCAACTCCCTCTTTTTTCATTTGCATTATGAATAAAGGTTTTCTAGTGCTCCATGAAATGTTGAATGTGCTTTTTCCATCACATCTATACAAAAAATCATACTATGTGAAGATGACAATGTGATAAAAGTGATACTAAAATAAAGAAAGCCAATTTAACAGATCTCAATTTAATGATCTTTGGAATTACAGGACAAAATTTGCTAGGTCAATTCACTTAAAACAACTGAAAAATTATGCTGGTTACAAAAATGTGCACTAGTCTTACAATCATGGCAAAACAATCATCTCTATCCACCACAATCACTAATTTTTTTACAATTTCTGAAATTCTTTAAGCACTCAGTAGATTAGTAGATTGCAACCACCCAGGAAAGTACAGTAACTGTTACTTTGCATTATGTCTAAAACAGAAGCCACATACACCTCTTAATGCAAAGCATTTCTATGTTCTGGCAGCCAATTTTAGCCATATATAAAGCATGAAAATATTATGACCTACACTACCCTCATATAAACTGAATATTCTAGCACCCAATGTATTCAAAACTTTATGATTTTGACACTCACTAAATTAGATTAAGCCTTAAAGCTATTAGAAATAAGGAATACACCAACCGCCCAGGGGGGTACTACAGTCCTTGCAGAGCGAGTGTTAAACGGAACCCCGTAAAATGCTGTACATGATGGTAGGAAATGCTGGTGTCTTTTTCCTGTCTCAAACATGAAAGGCTTCAGGTACATATTGCTACTTCACTTACACTTAGGTCACACTTCACATGCATGTTATTTTTTTTTTTTTTTAACAAGTCACCCGTCTCCCACCGAGGCAGGGTGACCCAAAAAGCAAGAAAAAATCCCCCCAAAAGAAAATACTTTCATCATTCAACACTTTCACCTCACTCACACATATCACCGTCTTTGCAGAGGTGCTCAGATACAACAGTTTAGAAGAATATATAAAATATATATTACATCCCTCCTCCAAACTGCCAATATCCCAAACCCCTCCTTTAACCCTTTCAGGGTCCGTCCCGTAGATCTACGGCTTTACGTTCAGGGTCCAAACCGTAGATCTACGCCATGAGCTCAGCTCACTCTGATAAACTGTGAGTAGTACTTTTGGGCTAGATAGTGGAGAATAAATCTATGAGGTATGTGTGCACCAATAAAACAGATCCTGGGCAGCACTCTGTGTATAATGAGAGAAAAAAACTTAAATCATGATTTTTCGATTAAAACAGCAACTTTGCAGTGTTTTTTTCGTATGTTTTTTATAGTTGTATTGCGATTTCTTGGTCTCATTTGATAGAAGGAAGACATATTACAGAAATTGAGATGATTTGATTGGTTTTCGCACTGGAAATGGCTTGAAACTGAGCTCAAAGTAGCGAAATGTTAAATTTTTGCCGATATTCAAGAGTAAACAAACGACCTCACACGTCTAATACACGTCAGCTGGTGGGTCTAATAATACATTCACAAATATGGTGATGATATTTATACAATTATTACAGTATTGCATAACAGTAAATCTTCTATTTTTTGGTGTGAATAAAAATTCAAATGTGAATAAAAATCAAAATGGAATTTATTTGTAAAGCCTCAAACAAAACTAATGAAACAGAGGAAATGTTTAGTTTAGTGCCAGGAATGCCTACATTGTTATTCTTGGACCCTATTTTGAAATTGGAATATTTTGAACTTTGTGTTAAATTGGCCAAATTAACAATTTCCGATCACTTTATTTTGTAGTTGGAACAGTTGACTTGGCAATTTCTTGTGCTCAAAATCGATAGAATAGAAGTAATACTAGTGAAATAGCTAAGAATTTGGTTGATTGGAATAATGTAATTGGCCTAAAAATGGGAGTCAAAGTCAGCAAAATCGCCGATTCGTAAATATCGCTGACACTTCAAAATTCGCGAGGAGCATAATTTCGGCAATTTTCCACCAAATTTCGTACTTTTTGTTTTATTACCTTCAACAAAAAGATTCTCTTCTACGATTCATAAGAAAAAATAACAAATTTTTTTTTTTTAAATTCTTGGACACTGGTGCGTGACTCCAGATTTGGGCCTTGGACCCTGAAAGGGTTAAAGTGCAGGCATTGTACTTCACATTTCCAGTACTCAAATCCGGCTATATAAAAATAATTGGTTTCCCTGAATCCCTTCACCAAATATTACCCTGCTCACACTCCAACAGCTCGTCAGGTCCCAAAATCCATTCGTCTCCATTCATTCCTATCTAACATGCTCACACATGCTTGCTGGAAGTCCAAGCCCCTCGCCCACAAAACCTCCTTTACCCCCTCTCTCCAACCTTTTCTAGGACATCCCCTACCCTGCCTTCCTTCCCCTGCACACAGTATTTATACGCTCTCACAAGTCATCTACCTTGATCCATTCTCCTAAATGACTCAAACACCTAAACAATCACTCTTTCAGCCCTCTGACTAATACTTTTAGTAACTCCACACCATGCATGTACAAGCATATATACAGCCTCTCCTTACTTAACAACAGAGTTCCATTCAAAGGCCAAACAGTAAACAAATTCGTTACTGAGAGTCATATTATATGGTAGTGGGTTCGTGCTGACCATCTTTGATACTGTTTTAATAGTCACCTTTGCACCATTTACGAAAATTTCTGGTATTTTTTAAATGTTATATACAATAGTGTACAATATATTGTAACAGAATAGAGGAAATCAGCTCTAACAAACGCTATTTAGGTATGCATACTGGTCATAGACCCTGTCGTAAGTCCGAGTTGTCGGTAAACGAGTACGTCACTAAGTGAGAAGCTGTATATACACCACTCTGGGTTTTCTATTTCCTTACTAGAATTCTTCCTCTGTAAGCAATGCATGTCATAAGAGGAGACTAAAATGCCAGGAACAAGAGGCTAGTAACCCCTTTTCTTGTACACATTACTAAATTTAAGAGAAACTTTCATTTTTCTTTTCAGGTCACCCTGCCTCGGCGGGATACGGCCAGTTTGTTGTAAGAAAAAAACTGAACTCTTGAATCATAAGAATACTTTATACCCTCCATAACATTAAAAAAAAAAAAATCTCAGTAATTCCTTTCATTAAGATAATCCTCTCATAAATTAAAAAAAATTAATAAATCTTTCTGACATCCTGAACTCACCCCTTGCTGCTGACGTGGTCTATAGCTTCCTCCTCCACTGACACCAGAGCCAAATCCATTTGAGTCAAAACCATACTTGTCAGGCTGTGAGGATATGACTCCAGGTCCTGTACCTAAAGTCACTGCTCCCATAAATACATCCTCCATGCCTGTGCGATTCCCTCCCGGCTGATGAGTGAATGATAACAGTTAGGGGCAGAATACGAAAATTATTAATTTTAATTATCTAAGTTACAAAGATAAAACTCTACATGAAAGGTAATGGATATTCGCAAAGCTAGCTTATGCTATATATAATGTCACGCCGAATAGGTAAAACTGGGGAATTAGCAAAAACTAGTTTAAAATTAAGACCGTTCTAAAATTTTCTCTTACACACTTAGATATATTTTTTCCTAAATGTTAATGCAAAAATTAATAATTTTGTACCAAAGAACCTTAAAAAACTTACCTAACTTTTTTATAACAAATGCAAATTAATTTACCCTAATCCAACTAAATATATTTTAGATAAGTTTACAAAAATATAAAAATAAACAATGGTATATATTTTTTTTGTTAGGTTCAGAATGATTCTTGCGAAATTATTGCATACACAAATTTTTGCTTGCCTTATTTGGCAAGAAGAGCCCTGAAACTTTTTGATTGATATAACTATTCCCCCCCCCCCCTAATAATCATGCTAGAAAATTAAGGAATAATTACATCCCATCTACAATAAAATTTGGTAACATATACTCAATGAAGACATTCACAGTTGAGGAAAACCTGGACACCAGTGACTAAATCAACCATACCAAAACTAACCTGTGGGAAAAATGATGAAACACCAGCCAGAGGAGAGATGGGTCCAGATGACCGCGGTGGTCCATGCGATGAAGGTGGTGGGATGTAAACACCAAGGTCGTGCGCTGCTTCCTCACGCACCTAATCGAGAGACTACACATGAAAACCTAAAACAATTAGCATTAGCATCATTATGGTCACATTTACGGCACAACAGCTGCTGAGTGCTTTTCCTTCTTTGGGTCACCCTACCGCCTTTGCCTTTCTGAAAACTGGCAATGTGGCAAAGATAGAAATTACATGTGAAGATAATAGTAACTTACCTGGAAAATTTTTGGAATAATTCCAAGACAACTAGATCATTTACTAGCATCCTTACTGCTCTAATCTGGCTAGAGGATTAGGTTTCCTCTCTACTCTTCAGATTTATTCATCTGCCTCTCAAATTTTTACTCTGAAAATACATTAAATGCTGACTTTTTGCCATTTTCCTACCATTCCATCAGTCATTCATCTCTTCCATTCTTGCACAACTTGTCAGACACTTCAACATCATGGAATCTTGGTTTAGAGGACATCTACAAGACCTTCTTCACGGCTACTACAACTAACCCATCCGTTTGGGTAGGACCTACTTCCACTGGGGAATCCCACCTACCAGTGACTGCCCTCATCTGCTACATGTCCATATCCACTGATGCCTATATAACCGCCAGTCTCCTTGCCTTTGCTCCAGATTCTCCACCACCACGATGCTGTGAACACTAACTCCATGGCCACTGGATGGCGAAACGTCTACAATAAAGACATCCGGATGTTGCACATGCGTTTTAACCCTTCCATTCTACCTATGACCCCATTCTTAAATCCACACATCTTTTCAGTATTACTCAAGTTAACCTTCCTTCAATTACTAACCTCTCTCTGGCAGTTTCTAAATTACTAAACCTTAACTTCTCTCTAACCTACTGATACTCACAGAATATGATCAGTGATGTTGGCCTGGGCCTTATATAAAACAAGAGGTATTGTCTCACTCACAAGAATCAGATACTGCAATGTACAGCCTCTCCTCACTCACTCACTATGGGAGTTCCATTCCTAAGACCACGTCAGTAAATGAATTTGTCACTAATCGAGGAACCACCCCTTACTGAGCGGCCCAGCCACTCCATGTACATCTAGTGTGCCATTGTTAACAAGCCAGTGAGAACAATTCCACCCATACATGCGATATATTTTGTATTCATTGTTTTTAGTGCTTGTAACTGCTAAATAAGCCACCATGGGCCCAAAGAAAGCTTCTTGTGCCAGCCCTGTGGTAAAGAGGGTGAGAAATACTATTGAACAGATGAAAGACCATCGCAAATTACGAAAGAGGAGTGCGTGTCTCCGAGTTGGCAAGGTTATAAAACAAACCCCCACTCAACCATCACTACTATCTTGGCCAACAAAAAGCAATCAAGGAAGCTGTTGTTGCGAAAGGTGCAAGTATGCTTACAAAACAGAGATCGCAAATACTCGACGTGGAGAGACTGTTGTTGGTGTGGATCAACGAGAAACAATTATCAGGAGATAGTCTCTCTCAGACAATATATGAAAAGGCAAGGCAGTTGCATGGGGATCTCTAAGAAAATGCCTCCAAATAGTGCTCATATTGATGAATTTAAGGCCAGAAAGGTGGGTTTGAAGATTTAAGAATCTTAGGGGATACATGTAAAAAGGGGCAGGGCGAGGTGCCAGTTTGCAAAAAAGCGGCTGAACAAAATGTGCAGGGCTTTTAAAGGGGGAATAGGGCCTGAACAATTAAAACCCCAAAAGTGTTCAATTGTGACAAAACGGCCCGTTTGGGAAAAAAATGCCAAAGGGCCCACATTATCAGAAAGGAAAAAAACACTCCCGGGAAAAACCCCAAACCCATGAGAGACAGGGTAACTCTCATGTTTTTTATAAAGTATGGGGATTGCAAAGTGAAGCCTTTACTTGTGTATCACTCAAATTCCCAGTGTTCAAGAAAAACAGTGTCGTCAAGACTAAATTGTGTGTGATGTGGAGAGCAAACAGTAAGGCATGTATCACTAGGGGCATTTTCCTCGATTGGTTCTATGACGTGTTTAGCCCTAGTGTGAAAAAATACCTCTTGGAAAATAAATTGCCATTCCAGTGCCTCCTGTTAACCCTTTGACTGTTTACGCTGTATAAATACGTCTTACGCGCCACTGTTTCTGGCGTATATATACTCAATAATTCTAGTGGCTTCAAATCAAGCGGGAGAAAGCTGGTAGGCCCACATGTGAGAGAATGGGTCTGTGTGGTCAGTGGGCACCACATAAAAAAAAATCCTGCAGCACACAGTGCGTAATGAGAAAAAAAAAAACGATCTTTTTTTGGATTAAAACGCCGACTTTGAGGTGTACTTTCGTATAGTATTTATCGTTGTATTCGCGTTTTCATGGTCTTAGGTGACAAAATGAAAAACACATTACAGAAATAGAGATGATTTTCATTACTTTGGCGATGAAAACGACCTTGAAACTGAGTTCAAAGTAGCGGAAATGTTCGATTTTTACCAATGTTCAGGAGTAAACAAATCACACCACACCTCCAATACATGTCAACTGGGGAGTCTAATATTCTTTCACTAGTGCACTGATATTATTTATATAATTTTTACAATAAAAAATCAAAATATAAATCAATAATAATATAAGAGGGGCCTAGAGATGTGACTAATGAACAGAGGATATGTTATTTTAGTGCCAAGAATGTCTACCTTGTTTATTCTGGACCCTATTTTGAAATTGGCATCTTTTTTAATTTGCGTGAAATTGGCCAAATTGCCAATTTCTGACCACTATATTGGGTAGTTCAAATTGGTAAATGGACGGTTTCTTGTACTCAGCTGATAGATAAAATGGAGTTCTAAAGAAATAGCTATGAGTTTGGTCAACTGGAACAACGGAATTGGCTGAAAACAGGGCTCAAAGTCGGCAAAATCGCCGATACGCATATGTCGCCGAGACTGCTAACCTCGCAGGAGCGTAATTCCGTGAGTTTTCGATCAAATTTCGAACTTTTGGTGTCATTACCATCGAGAAAGATTCTCTATCATTTCATAAGAAAAAATAATTTTTTTTTCCTTTTTTTCAAAAATTTATCGACATAGAATGACAGTTTCAGAAAGGGGCCTGCGACAGTCAAAGGGTTAATGGACAATGCTCCTGCTCATCCTTAAGACTTGGAAGAGCGAATTGCAGGGGAGTTTCTTTCATCAAAGTCAAGCTTTTGCCTCCTAACACCACTCCTCTCCTCCAGCCCATGACCAGCAGGTCATTTCAAATTTCAAAAAACTGTACACCAAAGCAGTGTTACAGAAGTGCTTTGAAGTGGCCTCAGTATTGAACTGACCCTAAGAGTTTTCTGTAAAGATTACTTCAGTATCCTCAGTTGCATAAACCTTATAGGTAAGGCTTGGGAGGGAGTGACTTCCAGGACTTTGTACTCGGCTTGGAGAAAATTGTGGCCAGAATGTGTACAAGAGGGATTTTGAAGGATTTGGGGCTAACCCTGAGGAGCCTATGCCAGTTGTGGAATCTATTGTGGCATTGGGGAAGTCCATGGGGTTGGAGGTTAGTGGCAAGGATGTGGAAGAGTTGGTGAAGGACAACGATGAAGAGCTAACCACTACAGAACTGCAAGAGCTTGAGGTGCAACAGCAACAGACCACAGCTCAGGAATTTCCTTCAGAGGAGGAGGACGAGAGATGGAGGAAGTTGCCTTCGTCAATGTGGATTAAGGTGCAAGCATTTATGGATAAACATTACCCTGACATAGCTGTTGCAGGCCATATTGGCAACATGTACAATGACAATATTGTGTCCCATTTTAGGGAAATCTTAAAGAGATGCCTGAAATAGAGCTCTCTGGACAGATTTTTGGTGTGACAGGGGTCCAGTGACTCAAGCTGGTCCTAGTGGCATTAAAAAACAAAGAAGGAAGGTAACCCCAGAAAAGGACTTGTTACCCAAAGTCTTTATAGAAGGGGATTCCTCTTCCAAACAATTGTAAACTCCTCCATCCTCTGCCCTCCTCCCATCTCATCACTCATCAATAAGTCCTCAATAAAGGTTAGTGTCATTTCAGTATTGTTTTTTCTGCATGTCTCATTGTTTCCTGTGTAGGGAAATGTATATGTATTTTATGTAAAAAAATTATTTTGTTTAATACTTTTGGGTGTCTGGAACGGATTAATTAGATTTCCATTATTTCTTATGGGGAAACTTAATTCAGATAACGAAAAAATCGGTTAAAGACAAGCTCTTTGGAACGGATTAATGTCCTTACCCGAGGGTCCACTGTATTTCAAAAATGTCACCACCCAAAATTAAAACATTCAGTTTTATGTTTGCTGTGAAAATCCTTTCAATCCAGTCATTATTAACAGTAATACAACATGAAATAGGTCAATACCTTACTTACGAGATATTCCAGGAAATGTGCTCATAGCTGATTGCTTGGGATTTTTTTTTTTTTTTTTTTTGAGAAAATTGCCCTTTTCTCAGTCTTTGCATAGGAAAAGAGTGATCTATAGTTACCCTTCAGGCATATAGCACGTAATGTTTTCTGTAAGGGTCACGGTCACTTTTTTTTTTAATCCCTCCTCACCACCCACCCTTCAATACAACTCCATACGTCAGTTTTTATTAATTTGAGCATCCTTATCATGCTTGTACATTTATTTATGTTATACCTAATATTATTCTGGAATAAATATGATAGGTAGATGTCCTTTTTTGATAGTAACAGTATAATTACACAATATTTTATAGTGCCTTGAGGCACACACACCCTTCCATGCATCAGAGTGATCGTGCCTTCTCCCTCTCATATAGCTCCGCCCACCCTCCAATACCTCTCCATATAATATTAATTTATATCAATTTGGGCGTCTTCATCATGCATCTATGTTATTTGTTATACCTAATATGATTGATACCTTAATATGACACGCAGATAACCTTTATTGAATTACTGAGACTGCTCGCTTCTCTCTCTCTGATATAGCTCTGCCCACTTTCTAACGATGCTAAATGGTGAATTAAATATGTATATTAGCAAGAAAAATAAATAAAAAGGAAACT